GGAGGAGGGCAGAGCTGGTTGGACGAGGGATGAGGGAGAGCTGGTGGAGTTAAGGAGGAAGGGGAGAAGGAGGGGGAATGGAGGCTTGCGATGAAGAGATGAGGGGTGAGAAGGGAAAAAGCTGGGAGAAGGCAGGAGGGCGAGAAGCTCGGTGTGAGAAGGAGAGGGGAGAAGGGAGCTGTGTGAGGAGTAAGGGAGAGGGAGAAGCTGGGTGAGAAGGAGGAGGGGGAGAGCTGAAGTGAGAGAATGAGCGGAAGCGGGAGAAAGAGAGAAGAAGAAGATGGTGGAGGAAGGGGAAGAGAAAGCTGGTGGAGGGGAGCGGGGAAGAAGCGTGCGGCTGGTAGAGAAGAACTGGGAAGGGGAGTAAGGTTTGCGAGAAGTGAGCTGGTGGAAGGAGGGAGAGGAGAAGCTGTGGAGAAGGAGAAGGGGAGAAGGGCAGGAGGCGGAAGGGAGCTGCGTGGAGGAGGAGGGTGAGAAGAGAGAAGCGTTAGGAAGATGAGGCGGAGAAGCTGGATGGAGATGAGGAAGGGGAGAAGAGGAGAAAGCTGGTGGGAGAAAGGAGAAGGATGAGTGGGAGAGCTGGTGAGAATGAGGAAGGGACAGAAGGGAGGAAGCTGGTGGAGGAGGAAGGGGAAGGGGTAGAGTGGTGGAGGGAGGGGAGAGCTAGGTGCAAAGGAAGAGTGTGCGAGGAGGAAGGGTGAGAAGGTAGAAGGGTGGGTGGAGGAGGGGAAGAAAGCTGGCGGATAAGGAGGACAGGGGAGAAGGGAGAAAGGTGGGTTGGAGGAAGGAGGGAGGGGAGAATGCTGGCGGCAAAGAAGGAGAAGAGGGTAAGGCTGGTGAGAAGGAGGGGAGAAGGAGTGGTGGAGGAGAGGGGGAGAAGAGAAGCTCGGTGGAGAAAGGAGGAGGGGGAGAAGGCTGGTGGAGAATGTAGGAGGGGAGATCCGACCCCTTTATCCTAGCCAACAACAGGGCGTTCCCAGCTGGCAAGCTGCCTAACGTTTATACAGTGTATCTTCATGCCGTCGCGGGCAGAAGTGTTTTATTTACGCTCTGTTATTTAGACCTGTATGTAGCTGATAATAGCCGCGTCCTTTCCATTGTATTCTTTAGATTATGTTCTATTTTCGTAGTTCATTATCCCCTCTTTCTCCCCTCTCCTCTTCTCACCAGCTTTCCCCTTCTCCTTCGCCAATCCAGCTTCTCCCCCTCCATCCACCACCTAGTGTCCCTTACTCCGCTTCCTCCTCACCAGCTTCTCTCCCTTCTCCACCCAGCTTCTCCTTCTCCCTTCTCCTTCCCACCAAAACTTCTCACCCTCTCGTTCTTCACCATGTTCCCCCTCTCCACACTTCCTCTCTCTCCCCTTACTCTCTTCTCCACCTAATATTATCTACTCTAACTCCTCCTCCCTCCCCCTCCCGTCCCTCCCCTCCCGTTCACTGGTCCTTCGTTACCCGTGTACCAGAACTCATCACGCAGTATCTTATCAACCGATGGTCGATTTAACGACACGTTGTAAGTCATGTAAGAAATCTATTGGTCGAGAATTAACGCGACCACGTATGTAATTCATGTATGATCAATCCTAGTTGGCGCGATCTCTTTAACGACCGTTGTATTCATTTAGACGCGTCTGCGTCGAATTTTACACATGTCCAGTTAAGTTCTTTAGGCTAACGCTCCCTTAGGAGCGTTCCACTTTAATGTTCATTAATATCGTGATATTAAAAGAGATAGAGAGGGGGGTGGATTGATATATTAGATATCAACGGCGCTGGTTTTGATATGAAATAGATATCAAGTGGGGGTTGCATCGATATCAAATTACATATCAAGGGGGATGATATATGAATACTCATATCAAGGGGGTAGATATAGGTATATAGGGGAGCACGCAATTTTTGAGACTGGGGTATGTTCGTGGGTCTCGGTGGAATTCGTTTCAGCTTGACTTCGTTGCTCGAGCAAGCGGAAATACAGAGCGGGGGCCGATGTTCGTTCGTTTCGCTGGACTTCGTTGCCGCTGCAGCGAACTACGGACGACGCCATGTTCGCTTCGTTTCGCTTGGACTTCGTTTGCTCGAGGCAATGCGAATTACTCAGAAGCGAGGCCATGTGCTTCGTTCGCTGGACTTCAGTGCTCGAGCAAGCGAAATACGGGGGAGGCCATGTTTCGCTCTTTCGCCTGACTTCCGTTGCTCGAGCACGCGAAATAGGAGGGGGGCGATGTTCGCTTCGTCTTCTTCTGAGACTTCGTTTGCTCTGAGACAAGCGATAAACGCAGCGGGGCATAGTTCCTCGTTTCGCTGGACTTGTTGCTCGAGCAAGGCGAAATACAGACGGAGGCTCATGTTCGCTTTCGTTTGCTGCACTTCGTTCTGAGCAAGCGAATACAGAGCTGGGGCCAACGCTGTTACGCTTCGTTCTCCAGGGGGGGGTGTCGCTTGGATTACGTTGCTCGAGCATCGAAAATACACGAAGCGGCGGCCTATTTTCGCTTACGTTTCGCCGTGGACTTCGTTGCCTCGAGCAAAGCGAGAATACCAGACCGGGGACCTATGTCCGTCGCTTTCCTCGAATTCGCTGGACTTCGTTGCTACGAGCAAGAGAATTACAGGCGGCGGCCGTATGTTCGCTTCGTTTCGCTGGACTTTCGTGCTCGAGCAACGCCGTATACAGATCGGGGCTGTTCGCTTCGTTCTTCGTGGACTTCGGCCTTGGCTGTTAGAGCAGCCGAAATCATACCGGGCCTATGTTCGCTTGTCGGTTCTCGCTGGACTTCGTTGCTCGAGCAAGCGATCGATACAGAAGGCGGCGGCAGTGTTCGCTCGTTTCGTCTGGACTTCGGTTGCTCCGCGCAGGCGAACTAGCCGCAGCGGCAGGCCATGTCGCTTCGTTTCGCTGGAGTTCGGTGCTCGTAGCAATGCGAAATACAGAGCGGGCGCCATGTTCGCTTCGTTTACGCTGGACTTCGCTCGCGTCCGGGCAAGGAATACAGGACGGCGGGCAAGATAGTTCGCTTCGTTTCGCGCGACTTTCGTTGCTCGGCAAAGCGAAATTAACGAGAAGCGGTTGTGGTTGGGTGGCATGTTCGACCGTGGCACGGTCGCTTTCGCTGGACTTCGTTGCCTCAGCCAACAGCGAGACGTACATAGCGGGGCCATGTTCGCTTCAGTTTCGCTTGGACTTTTGTTCGCTCGAAGCAAGGACATACAGAGCGGGGCCATGTCGGCTCTCGTTTCGCTGGGACTTCGTTCTCGAGCAAGCGAATACTATGGGGGCATGTTCGCTTCTTTCGCTGACTTCGCTTGCTGAGCAGCGATATACAGAGCGGGTGCATGTTCGCTTCTTTCGTTGAGATCTTCGATGCCTCGAGAGAATCTGCGAAATCTACAGAGCGGAGGCCATGTTCGCTTCGTTTCGCTGGACTTCGCATGTGCGACTTAGTCGGGGATGCACGA